CCGGCGTGACCGCCATTTCTCCAAATCTTGATTCTCCGTTACCGGCGGTAGTTTATCAGTCTTTGGGAGTGAATTAGAGAGAACTGGAGAGTAATTATAAATGGGAAATTGAAATTGCAAAGTGAAAGAATCGAAGAAAGAAAGACTATGTGATGGGTATTAGGGAGCAGCAATGATGGAAATGTTGGAGAGAGGGATTCAATTGGAGAATTGAAGTAACAATTCAACCATCCATTGCCATATTTCTGTTATAACTTTTCTTTCTTTTTTATCTTTTTTTGTGTTTCTGCTTTACAGATGTCAATTTTTTTTCCAACTTTTCTTCTCATTCTGGTTGGCAGAGATACCCTTTGTTAATATAACACTCTGTAACAAGTATCTTCCAGTGAATAAGAACTCTTTTTTGTTCTTTGTCATTATTAAAAACCAATTTGATAATGTTAAAATTGGAGGAATTGATTCAAATTAGTGATGTTTGATCTGTATACAGTCAAACCTTCAGTCATATGGTACACTATGTTTATAGTAAGTTTTTGTTGTTGTATGTTGCTTGTTTGTTTTAATTTTGTGTCATTTTTAGTCAAATTACAATTTTCTTTTGTAAAAAAACTAAAAATAGAAATGGAATTGAAACAAATCAAATATCCCTCCGTACCTATATAAAAGTATCCATTCGTTTTCCACACATTTTAAGAAAGTGGGTTTGGTTGGTACTGTTTGACATTGTTTGGACACTGTTTGACACTGTTTTACACTGTTTTGTTTGTCAAAAAATGAAAGGAAACTTTTATTTAGAGATGACCCGAAAAGGAAAACTTTTATTTAAGGACAGAGGGAGTAAATGAAAGCGTAACTTCGTGTTATTAAAAGCAAAATCGAATAAACTATTTTACTTTGATTTCACAACAAAATCAAACCAAAAAATTACAGTCACCCAACTAATATGTAACCAGTCTCGGATAGGGTTTCTATTGTGAATTGGATATTGTTTATTCCTACTTACTACAGAGTACATCGACATAATGAGGGGTAATGATTCTCTTATATTATAGGAGAATCATCATCATTATTCATGATAATATATTCCGTATCTTGGTCCAAAAGGTGGAATCTCCCACCCCAGGAGCCCCCCATACCCCGACCCGACAGGATTTTTGGGATGATGTTAATCACGGTGACTCTGTCGGCCCAATGATGGTAGGCCTTTTTCCCGTGCGCACCAGAGGTCCAGCCTTATTTAAGGTTCTGTGACCTCCACACGGCCGCTGCGGGTTTCGAACCTTGGTCACTTGGTCCAAATTTCCCAACACTGAACCAACTGAGCTACCCGTGCGGGTATAATATATTCCGTATCAGTTACATTAATAAGATCATATATGTTTTGCGGTGATGCGTGGAGGATGTCACCACTCGCCCGGACCGGCAGGGTTGACCGGGAATCCGGCGACCTGCACGAAAATCCGATATGTTTAGTTAAAAATTCGAAAGTGGCTAAAATTTGAAAAAACTCGATCGACCTGGTCCAGACCAAGACCCAAAAAATCACGTAAACCCGAAAAAACCCGGGTTTGTTTGATTTTTCCAAACAATTATCCTTTTTCTATTTTGTAAGCTTTTTAACCAAAAACTTGCAACTTCAATGCCCTAAAAAGAAAAAATATGTAATATATATATATATATATATAAGAAGGAAATCATGTAAATTATATTATAAATGTACAATAAAAATAAAAAATGTCATTATATACTTTAACAAGATCAAAATAATATTTTGAAATATTATGAGAGTGTTTTAAGGGACCATCGTATTTTCACCGAGTGTTTTTAGTTGATTATTATCAATAATAACTATCTTTTATTTTAATTTTGTATATAACTATATGTTTATGTTTATTATTATATGGTCGTATAGTTGTTGACCAGTTTTCCGGTCGTGACAAGGTTGACCCATCGGTCCGGGTTGACCCATGACCCGCTAATGTGGCCAAGTTACTTCCCTGTCTAGTTATTTAAACATAGGTTTTGTATCGGCCCCATTTGTCCGACGGATCCCTTTGAATCCCCTCCCTCCTTATTGCCATCGAATTTTGACCGAGTGTTACCAAGTTTGTATATCAATTTTAAAAATCAAACACAAAGCTACAACATTCAAGTCTTAATCCCAAAAAATCAAACACAAAGCTACATTGAAAAGTTAATAAAGTGTGCTTTAGATGTTTTGCTTTAATCACTACCGTTTTTTTTGCATTTAAAAGCTTATAAGCACAAGGCAATCGACTCGTGCGTTGCACGGCACAATTCTACTAAAATGTAATTAATTTGATCAATAATGAACTTTGTTAGTACACAATCAAGTGGAAAAATTAAAAAAATTGTAGGAAGGAAATAATTCACAACCAATACGTAACAATGTAACATAAATGTACACCTAGTATTTATTTGTACACGATTCTTGAAAACTCAAGCATAGAGTACAAATATTACTCTCGTTGTCTTGATGTATCATACTTAAGTCTAAAGATCGAGTACATATTGAGTTTTGTTAGAATTTGTGCATTTGTGTGTTGAGATAATATTCAGATTCTTCTTTGGATTTATTGGGATCCATACAAATCTGTAGCAGATTCTATAATCTAGAATTTCAAACAATGCATACAAAATTTGATTTAATTATCCAATAAGTGTGTTTTCTATGCGTCTAAAGCGTTTCAACAAATTAAACATCAAATTTTTTGAGAATTAATGAAAAGATTAAAAGTTTAGCAGATTAAATACGAGATGCCTAACTGTGTATTAATATTTAATAATGCTCTTATATATCTTATTACCTACTTACTGCTCAGACCGAATATCTAATGTACCAAATATTGTTTTACAATCCTGCCAAATTAATCCGCTGGACAAATCCGCTAAATTCAATCTATTATGTGTATTTGAGAGCCTTTTGTTTATTTATTTGCTTTATCACTTTTACAGTTTTACCTAATAATGGTTGCAACGGCCAGTTTCCATTTAGCAGTTCCCATTGATGACAATTTCATTACAGGGTGAGCGCAATATAAGACATTAGTAGGCTTCTCCATCGTCGAATTCATTCAAAAAAATTGGAAAACAAGTGAAACCATTACTGTTCTTTTACTTCTGATGACTACTATCACAATTGCAAAAATCCCTTTTGTACACATTTTTATACACATTAGTACACCTAGGGATGGATTCGGTTCGGGCCACCCGGCCCGTGACCCGGCCCGGCCCGGTACTGTGCGGGCCCGGGACCGGCCCGGTCGGGCGGTCCGGGACCGGGTCTGGGCCCGAACCGGGGGGAAGGGGCGGGGCGGGCTCGGTTCAGCAATTTTGTGACCCGGCCCGGCCGGGTCGGGCCCGGGCCCGGGTCCGGTTCGATCAAATTTAAAAAAAAAAAAATAAATTGGGTTGGGCTCCTACTAGCCGTTGGGGGTGGGGCTGGGGACAACCCAAACGGCTATATAGCCGTTGGGTGGGTTATAGGGGGTGTCCGGAGGGGTTGGGTGGTGGGGGTGGTGGGGGGGGGGTGGGGGGTAAAAAAACCTATAAATACTCCTAATCTTAAACATTTTTTCATCTCTTCTCCAATTCTTCCTAAATCCTATTCTTAACTCTCTACTCTCTAATTCTCTTATTCTCCAATATATTATATATCTACTCTCTAATTCTCTTCTCCAAGAAGTTAAGATGGAAAATCAAAATGCCATTATACGGTATAATTTTGATAAGCAGAAGGACCCGAAGACCGGGATGTGGTACGCAATTTGTAAATGGTGCGAAAAAAAATGTATTATGGGGGCTTTAGGCAGATTCGGGATGACAATCAAGCATATGAAGTCATGTGACAAAGCCAAAGGATCGGGAGGTGCGGGAAGTTCCGATTGATTACAATTTTCAAAATGTTTATCTCTTAAAGTTTGTTTTAATTTTCAAATGTAGTTCCTATTTCATTTCAAATAAATGCAATTGAAGTTTGTTTTTAATACTCGTATCAAACTATAAACTATAAAATATAAAATATAAATTATATAAAAAAAATTAACCGGCCCGGCCCGAACCGGACCCGACCCGTGACCCGGGCGGGTGGCCCGACCCGAACCGGACCCGTCCAACCCTCGGGCCGGTCCCGGGCCCACTGTTCTTGAACCGGCGGCCCGACCGGGCCCGACCCGGCCTAGGCCCGGCCCGGGCCCGACCCGGCCCGAATCCATCACTAAGTACACCACGTGTCTGTGAGAGTTTTTTTATTGTCTGTGAATCCCAGTCCACAGACAAAATCAAGCTTGTTTTGTATGTAGAATTTTTCACAGAAAAAACAAGCCAAATTTTGTCTGTAGACTGGGATTCACCGATAAAAAAAATACTCTTACACAAACGGGGTGTACTGATGTGTATAAGAATGTGTACACCAAGAATTCTTGGTGATCACACTTGTTACTCCAAGTGTTTTCGTTCATGTACTCCATTTTTCCCCGACCTAACACCTCTAAAACAACTTGGGGACATTTAAACCTTTTGGTATTAATAGATTAATCAAGACATCTTGTGGTTTTGATATGTAAAATTACTACATATAATAATCATTCCACTTCCATTGTGAAAAAAACAAGGTGACAAAATTATTGTTATTATTTATCGAGAAAGAGCAAGGACGTTTTTACTTGGACTGAAATTTGTTGATCTGGTCTAGTCTGATTAGTTTAAGTTTGGTCTGGTAAATGTCTAATCTCTATGTATTTTATAATTACAGAAGTCTGATCTGGTCTGGTCTATTTAAGTTTGGGACTGAAAACAATCCAAATAAAAACATCCTAATGAACTATAGCAACTTTTACACATTGACGATTTTATAGACTCCTAAGTCAATGAATTATAGAACCACTACTGGCATGTCGAAAATCTCATTCAACTATCGCAGTACTATGGTGAATTTCCTTGACAGAAACTTTCCAAAGATGATGTATGATTTTCGACCATTTATCCAGCTTGACAACGTAAATTAAGTTGAAGGAAATGAATAAATAGAGACCAAAATATTGATATTTTGTACACTGATCATATACTCGAGTACTCACTAGACATTATTGGGGATATAAGGTCAATCCATACACCAAAGTCCCACAAGTTCATTGGGGAATGTCAATGGCTAGCTTGTTGCGCTGCCAGGAAAAGGGAATTTTACAAAGAAAACTCTCATTTACCACTAAATGTCACAGCAGCCAAACAGATGCATGCATTAAAAAGGCACTAAGAAACAAGTCTTAAATCCTCTCAAGGCCTTGTTAATGCACAGGAAAACCGAATCCAGAGGGGAAACCTTTAACTTGATAATTACCTTATTTGGTAGGTCTGCAGCATATCTTGTTACTTTCTACTTTGTCCTGTCAAGCGTAGCAGGCAACTGTCATTAGCAATAGTGTTCAACCCAAATAATAATAAATGTGGAAACCCGCAGTCAAATGAGTGTAGCATATATTTTGAAGATTTGGAAGGGGTGGGTTAGTTTAGTTGGCTGATTTTGGAAGAGGGGGGATGACTCATTTATGTTTTACGGAGTATAAATTTATATATATGATGGTCTTAACTCTTAAACTAGAAAGCACAAATGAATAAAGAACTGCCTTATTTCTCAAAAGGTACTAACTTCTAAATATTTATGAAGTATGACTCACAACTTACCGATCCAGCTTATGCGTGTGAATTTATTTGTTTTTAAAACCAAAACTAACATCCATTCACTTGTTGGTGAATTTGACACCAACAATCCTACTATCCTACTGCATATTTTATAAAAAAATCCCCTACGGCACTATTAGTTCACAACAATAATCCCAACTCATGAACTGTTTCACAAATGAACTGCCACTTAAATGTGATTATGTTGATCGGTTTTTGTGAAGCTGTTAACAAATTGAGATTATTTTGATGTCCGAATTTTGAATTTTCTTTTGAACATATAGGTGTTAGAACATGTCTTGCATAAACTAAAATTATTTTTGAAATGAAAATATTACTATTCAATCCATTCAGATTTATTATAGATATTTAATCACAAAAATTAACTTTAATTAAAAAAAATGTTCACATACTTCGCCTTAAATTTAGTATCTCTATTATAATGAAAAAACAAGTTTGAATATGATTGAAAAATGATAGGAAGTAAAAAGTAAAACAGAACTTGTTCATACATTGGTACAAGTTTTCATGAAAGATGTATAATTTCAAATAAGACTCATAGAGAAAATTAGTTTAGAACAGATATAGTTCAGTTAGTACTTTTTATGTTTTTCACTTCTTTTAAAATGCACAAGTAGAAAAGTTAACACCCTTAATATGTGGTTCTTTTTACTGAAGCGAGTAGGGATTATTATTATTGTTTACTTTTGCAAGTAGAGATTATTTTGTCATTTCATTTTCATTTACCCCAGTGCCGCAAAGAAGTAGAGATTATTTTGTAATGAATAAAATATTGTTATCAATTTTGTCAGTAAAGATGAAGAGTGGGACACTCGTAGAAACAAGTAAATAAATACCACGTGCGCTCTTAAATAATTGCAACGTATTCAATTTTACACTACTCACATGTTCTACATTGACTACAGAAATGCTGCAACTAAAAATGAACGGATGAAGCATATACAGAAGCAGAATCTCCGATACAACTTCTCCGGTTGCAGAGGCACAAAATCCCCTAATCTGTCTTACTCTATACACTGTACTCTTCATGATAGAAGCCTCTCTAATATCATTTTACACGGTAATACCAAATTTCTATAAAGGGGTTAGTGCTTCACCAAGATAAACTAGAAGTACTTAAAAATATTGTTCCACTAGCAGAACTTCAAGATTCCCCAAACCAGTATCATTTGCGTATTTTAAGTAATATTGTCCGAACTCAATCAGGTAGTGGTAATAATGTGATACTTGCTTAGGCCATTTTAAAGCACAAGACTGCACAACTAACGAAACAATATCATCGAACAAGTACGGATGTTGCAAGTAATATTTTGATGACTTCAAATTTTTAAATTTTTCTGACAGAAACTCGAGCATCTCCTTTATCTTGGCAAAGCACTTCATTTCTAAATTTTGATAATGTCCTCTACTCCTATTTAAGCGGATAATTGAGAACACCATTCCATAGAAACTCCATGTAGACAGAGAAAATTTTGAAATTCCGCGCCTCTGTGACAAGAGGTTCTATCTACGGGATCTTATGTTTGCTTTAATTTTTTTACTTATTTTTTCGTTTTGTATGCGTGTTTCGTTCTTTACTCATTTAAGAAAACAATACCTACTGACTACTGCAAAAGTACAAATATAAATCTCTACTCGATTACCACTTCACAAAATAGAACCTCAAATAGTGAAACTAATAGTGTTTACTTTCTCGCTTCTTTAATGCATTTTCAAAGACAACAACATCCTAACCTTAGTCCCAATAGATCATGGGATCCGCTAAGATACATAATACCACAACCAAAAGGAAAAGAAAGATAAAAAGATAAAGTATGATAAAAAAGATAAATAAAAAGAGAGAAAATAAGATAAATATAAGATAAAAATAAAAATGATAGATCAAATGGATATAAAGAATACAAATACAATATAAATGATAAAAAGATAAAGAAGATGATAAGAGATCAATCCTCCACACAAAATATTTTCCTCCACTTTGGTCTCTCCAAAGCCATATTCTCATCCAATCCAAGACTTAATTTCCACTTCAAATTTAATTTAGAATAAAATATTTCTGATGAAAAATGTACAAATGTATAAACAATACCCGACAACTTCTCTTTTACTCATTTGTTTCTTATCAAATTTCAATCATATTCAAACTTATTTCTTCATTATTATAGACATATTAAATTAGTTTTAATAGTATTACACTAAATACTAAGACAAAGTATATGAAAATTCATTTTACCTACAATCAGATTTTGTAATTAGATAGAAAGGGCGGCCCTGTGCACATTGGCATCTCCGCAAGTCAAGGGTACAGAAAACGATCCCACTGTAATTATATATCTCTAATAATTTGGAATGGATGGAATACTAATGTAATTCACTATAAATAGTTGAATTTAAAAGATGGAATTCAGTAGAAATTTGAAATAAATAAATATTTGAATATATAACCAAAATAACATAAAGCGACTCCCGACTCAAAATTTAGTCTTTTAAGATTTAATACATCAAAAGCTAATATAAAAAGTCAAACAAAGGTTTTTCAAAATGTGGTCATTTATTTGATGTTTTGATATTAGTTTTTGATAAGTTAAATGACGGAATTTCCTGGGAGAATGACATTGTATGACTTTTTTTGTATCTTCAAATAGTTGGTATTATAAAAAAGGAAAAATTCACATTAATAATCCCACCTATTGACGATCTTCTCATATTAATCCCAATTATGTGTAATTCTATCCATCATTTGCAATGGAGCCAAAGCTTCACTATCTTTTGGCTTGAGAATATGATGGAATAAAGCAAAATGACTCACTACACTATTTGCGCTTCTTTGTTATGAAGCACCAGTCAGTTCATGCAATTTTGGACGCGATTTTCAATATGGGTCACCCGGAAACAGTCTCTTTGTGCTTTAGTACAGGGGTAGGACTGCGTACATCTGGCCCTCCTTACCCCACCATAGGAGGGAGCCTTTGCGGCACTGGGGTAATGATGATGAATGAATGATGAATGATGTGTAATTCTAAAATAATCTAAACTATAAGGGGCAGATTCTAAAAATGAACCCATAACCTGAACAAAAAAGTTCAGCAGGTTGCCCTGCCACGTGGCTTGATATAATTGGGCTTCACATATTTTATTTTCCATTTATTTCTTTTCTCTTATCTTTCTCTTTGGTTGTTCTATCTTCTTTTTCGTTCCTCGCAGTCACCTCTGCTCCATTTCATCTCCTTTTTCAGTTTTCTTTTCACTTTTGTCCTCTTTTTCATCTACTCTTTCTTCTTCTTTGGCCTTTCCCACTTGAGCCTTAAGCAGGGAACTCTCACAAGCGGTTCTTAAGGGGGATCTAGTACTCTAGTAGGAGCCACCCATTCCGATAGCGTGTATTTGGAGCTCAATATGAAATTATGTTTTCTTGCAAGACCCATTCGGATAAGGTAACCCTTCAAAATTGATTCGAAGTAAAATACTAGCTTTGGGCCTTTCTTGAACTGGAGAGGATGAAAGGAAAAGGGGATAAAAATGTCCAATAAAGTGACGGGAGGCAAGAATAGAAAGCCTTCATTCCCCCTTTTTCATATTTAAAGAAATTAAACCTTGATGATACGGAATGAAAGTTATGAACCTAGACAGTAGACACCATGATATGGCTCCTTCATCCTTATCCTCCCACTTATCTTGTTTTTTTGGAAAGTTTGTTCAATTCTATTCTGTCCAAACACGGTTAGTCGGTTAGGTAACAGGCTCAAGATAAGGAGAATTGGAGAAAGGAGAAAAAGAGGCTTGAGAAGAGATCATCGGATGGGACACGACAAGAAGGAGATGGCTGAAGTTTTTCCCCCAGCCGTACATAACCGGAAGATATATCCTTCGGGGTGTTTACCTTTTAAACAGGTCGCAGGTCACCTAAGACTATTTTGGGAAGGATACCTCTTAAGTTTAGATTATTCTGGAATTACACATATATGAGATTAATATGAGAAGAATCCAAATAGGTCGGATTATTGATGTGAAATTTTCCTATAAAAAATTATTTCCAAGAAACGTATTATTAAAAGTTTTTTTCCTTTATGTTTATGTAATACATTTATATTCTTATGTGTTCTGAAGAGAGTTCTAATATTATGCATATAATCACAGCTTTGACACAAAAAATGAACTACATAATGAAAAACTAACACCATTAAGTAACAACTCGTTTTTGTGAATCAATTTAGATGAAGGACTGATTGATGTTAAAAAAAAGTGCTCTGAATCGCTCCTAGAAGCAGTTTCTGAAAAGTTGGGTATGACCAGCTTCTAAAAATCTGATTCTTATTCCACTTCCGCTTTTAAAATAGAAGCGGAAGCGGAATCAATTCCAAACACTCATTTAACCATCATACCCAAGAAATTAGACACATAAACCCATGAAGAGCGCCCTAAACGTTTTTTTGCAGGCTATTCACTAGTTTTCAGTTCACCTAAATGTAAGAGCAACTTTATAAGTATCACCTCTCCTCTTCCCTCCCCTCCAAAATCCCATAACCAAACAGGCTCTTATGCATTTACCTCGAAGTTATCAAAGTCATACCGAACAACAAAGATGCACGTGCAAGCTGTGATATCATGTGGATTTCTTTCAATTTCAACAATGTGTGCGTCACAGTATAAAGCATATCCATAAACTTCATTTTCCTGGAAATGTCATCAGGGTGTCAACTGGTGTAGTCTTGTAGATGCTTTTGCGTTTAGGTAGAGATAGAAATACAAAGTTTGTGTGTGTACATAGTTACATACATACCCTGAAGCATAGTACAAGATCACCAGGCTCCACTTTCTCACATTCTGATGGAGCTAGGGGGATCGAACGCTCACGAAGTCCCTTTCTAACGCTCACCCACTCATCTTGGTCGTTCCTGAATCCAGCAAATCTCACACGAACCTCCTGCGACCATCCAGCATGATGTTTTTATTCTTCAATATTAAATTAAATAAATAAATACAAGTAATAATCATCATTGACCCTCAACTAATGAGCATGTCATACTGTGATTAGCAAAATAAACTAAAAAGGTGCACAAATCTCACAAGTTCACCCGAATGAGTAACTCGATAGTTGAGGAATGTAGCAACATCATACCTGGAAACAGGAGAATAAATCTTGTCACATTTAATTCTTGACTCTTTCATTTGGACCACATTTTGATCTTGACTTTCATGTTTTTCCAGGTTAATCTCCTGTGAACAAATCTATCTATTCTGCATCAACGACGAGGGAAAAAAAGGAAACCTATATACTAACAGATGACCATGAGCTCTGATAAGACATATAAAGAATCTCCATTTGGCCCTCGTTCTTGACAAAGAACAGTCAGATTTGTTCACTGACATTAAATATGGGGAAGAAAATCAAATTGAAACAGAATGGAGTCAAGATGAAAGTAAATGACTAATCTGGTATTGGTTCATTATTGTAATATTACTTCACGACAATGGGTTCAATCTTATAATGTTACTTCAGGAAAATAGTTTATTTATAAAGCATACTTTCCCGCATAAATAGTTCAAAAAACAAGCTAGCTTAATTAAAATGATTATGTACACTATTGATGAGAAGTATTCTCAGTGTGTCACTTAGAGGGCTTCATTGGCTCGACGGTTTCAGAGGGAAGAGTTCTAGTTTACTAATTTAATTAGCTAGTTTTAGATTATAAAGTTATTATTAGTTGGATGACTTGGAACATGTATGTCTACATAGTTTTTTAACATTACATTATTTTAAAACTCCGCCATGAGATCACTCTTTGGTATCATGCCTATCCCAAGCCAGGATAAAGGAGGAGGGTGTTGTGGTAGGGCGCGTGACGGCCAACAGTATCACTTAGTCACATCACATGACATGAATCAAAATAGTTTGGCATCGATATCATAGATCGATTCATGTTAGCCGACCCCAAATTCTTTTGGGATTAAGGCTTGGATGTTGTTGTTGTATCTAAGTTTAGAAATCATTTTTAAAATATATAGATCCTCCATTTCCCTACCCTCCAAAAATCCAAAATCAAGTTAGACATAAGGGATTGTTTGGTTTGCGGATTTTGGAGGGAAGAGGAGAGGAGGATTTTGACTTTTATTGTACTCATTTATCTCTGTGTTACTAAGATATGATTAATAAGATCATGTGTTTTACCAAAAATATATACTTCAATTTATATCCATCCATCTGAATGTAGAAATTATTTGAAAAGAAAATACTACCACTCCCTTTCCCTGCCTAGGGGTGGGGAAATATACCGAAATTTTGCTATATAGTCCATACCATACCGAAAAAACCCGATTTTACTGAAACTTCAGGCATACCGAATTTTCAGTACCGTGTGGTGCCATACTGAATTATATCTATACGATAATGGTATATACCGGAATAACATTAAGTTTCGGCATGATTCAGTATACCAGTAATACCGAAGGCCCAATCAAATAAATAGTTCGATGAATGTAGTAAAATTATTAAGGCCCAAAGTTAGAAACCAACACTTTGAGTCCCACCTTCATACCCTACGTGAACTCCCTGAGCAGCTAAGCTTCTCACAAGTTCACGGCAGCAGAAGACTACTGAGAAGTGACAATACGTGAAGCATGACAAACGGCAGTCCAGAAGTGGAACTCCATTGACGACCTTCATCATTTGACTGTCAAAGCTTATGGACAGACGATAAGAAAGTTTTGATCTTTTCTTTGCCTCTCTTCAGCATTTGATTGTGCTATGCTTCCGTCTATTAGGAGAGTCTTATCTTCAAAGAAGGTTAGCTGTGCTGCACCATTTCCATAGGTTCAACAACACACAAGGTATTCTCCCAAAAGTGTTAACAAATTGAATATATGTCCTTTAATAAGAAATTTCCATATTATACCTAGACCCTGTACTAGCACTCTACGTGCAGAGTTTCTGGCATATAAAGTGGATAAGATCTTTTGATTTGATTCTTTATAGATTTTTGTGCCATTTGTCACATGTACTACTTCGGAATCACGCTGTATTGCTGATATACAGTTTTCCATATATATTATTTTGTGTGTACAAGTCCAACTGCATTAATTTGATATGTTCCATAAATATAAACTTGATATTCAATTTTAAACAAGAATGTTGTCATGGATAGTTCTATGCTTGGCTAAGTTCACTTAGAACAGTAGAATGCATAAGAAAAATGGGAGTATGGGACAATCTAGACAATAATAGACAAATGGGATAAAAGCTTCCTAGAAGTCTTTCTTATCTAAGCTATGTACAGCTGTGAATACCAAATTATTGAACAGCTTTCATATAGTTGCACTGCTTGAGTGGCCAAATGGAACTGCCAAAATGAATGGTGTTCCTATATCTTATGATCAGTGAGTATCTTAAAAAAATGACTGGCAAAATATTAGGTAAACCTGGACCATGAGCTACTTGTTGATCACTTTTGCTGGGGTTAGAAAAATACATAAGAAAAAAGTAATTTAGACAAATGATCTTTAACAGTCACTGTTTAGTATGTCTATATTTGCATGAACATGCTTCTCACAAAATATAGAAGTAATATTGTAGGGGTAAAGAGCAGTGTAAAAATTATGCCTTAAGTACACTAATGATAAGGTACTTTTAATCTATTTTATTCAATGATGTCTTTAGTACTTTTTTATTTAATTCATACAAAGTTTCTAATAACTATTACTCCCTCTGTCCCACTAGATTGACCCATCTTTTCTATTCAGTCCGTCCCGCTAAGATTGTCCCAAACCAAATTTGGCATAAGTTGTGTAATTCTAAATCATTCTTACTTTATTCTTATTTTATCAATTCAATATCAACCACATAAACCCACTTTTCATAATAATCGCACCACCTCCTCATGTCCCATTGTTAGTGGGACGGAGGTAGTATGATTTTTCTTATGGACATGTTCTACATTTCGACTGTCATCTTGATTGATGATTTCCCATAACTGATTGTTTTATTCAATGATGTCTTTAGACTTTAGTTGTGTCTCTCACATCCTTAACATAATCGTTGAGGATGTTGATTTTTTATTTCTCATGTACGAAGTGTTTTATTAATGTTTATCAGGCCTTATATGTATGTCGCTGGAATGAGTTATTATCCATGTTTCCTGATGTATATGCTATGAGATTTCTTTCTATCTTCCAATCATGAAAGTTGAAGAGTTGAATGCGTGAAAGCATGAGATTGATATTGTTTTCTAGCCCGACAAGCCAATATATGTTGTTAACAGTGTAGATATTGACATTTTCAATAGCTTCTCTAAATACGTAAAGTTGGAGATTTACAAACCATAAATAAGCTTTATTTTCACGTAAAGGAATGTAGGATTGAAGCATAGTCTATGGGTCTTTTGGAGTTACAACAATCCAAAGACCTCCTATTACCTTTTACTTTTGTTGGATTACTACTTTGATTTTTAATGTAGATTATGCCCAGCAATTGAGACTATTTTAATGTTTTCTACTTTATATTTAAATCAACAACATCAACAACATCCAAGCCTTAATCCCAAAAGACTTTATATTTAAATATTCTGTTTTAATTTTGATGTAACGCTATACAATTGATGTTCTATACTACTTTTGGCATATTGAAATTGAGCATATTGGATGTTCAGTATTCCATGGTTTTATACCAAACCATGTCTGAAATCCAGTGTATCAAAATTTCGGTATAAAATGGTATGGGCTGCAAACTTGTATATATCATGCCAAAGTTGCAGCATACCGAAATCCGGTATACCGATATATTCTGCATGTTAATGGTATGGCATTTACATAAACCTACATTTTGGCATGAATTTAAAAATTCGATTTACCTTCTGAACCACCCCTATCTCTGTCTTCTAAAACCCCAGAACCAAACAAACCCTAAAAGAAGCTCCTATGTTATTGGGAAGAGATTCAGATGAAATGGAACAGACATAGGAAAATGAGAGAAAAAGGAACATAAGAATGCCATAAAAGTTCTGACCAAGCTAAGTCCTTCGCCGAGAGAGCTTCAAAAGCCAAGTCCGAGAGCTCTGCTGCCCTTTCACCTGCAGAGTCCAATTTGTCAAGTATACACTTTCCAAATTATTACTCCCTCCATGGCTCCATCCAGAATAGGAGTCATTTATAAAAACTTAATGTTTTGCCAAAAAAGAGAGTTCCCTTTGAACTGTAGTGTCTGATTTTATCATACTTAATGCATTTAAAAATAATAGGTAACCCCAACAAGTTAAGTATATTTAGTTAAAAGAACCAAGAAATAAGTTTAAAACTATAGCTAGAACAGATTATTTGTAATAGTTGTACTTTATCAAAGCAGCGCGTTGGTGAAACAAGACTTAGTTTTTAGATGAGGTGGTACTACTTTAAGAATGCCAAACAAGTATCATGAGTAAAGTTAATGGCAAGGTTGTTGCACAATTATGAACTACTACTAAAGTTCAAATTACCAATGGGCTTCTCGTATTTTTCAGATGCATATTGTGAGGCTAGCTTCCGCACAGACGAGACAGTTTTCTTTGGTCTTATTACAGAATGAGGAGTCACACATGTTTTGTCAATGAGAGATAATAGAGTATCTTTCTTCATCAGCCCATCTTGCTTCTTGTTGTGGAACCAAGTTTTAACCTAAAAAAATATGGCAAGAACTGTTTGCCAGAGACTATAGCTGTAACATTGCTGGGATAGAAAATTGTAGGGAAATCACGGAAAAACCTGTTCCCAAGATATCAAAGATTTTCCAGACCGATAGGGTGAGGAACTGTGTGAGAGAGAGAGAGAGAAGTTCCTTCGTAAGTAGCATGAAAGTAAAGTGGCAAAGCAGATGGATGGCACATAGCATAGGTGAAGCTTTACCTGAACTTTGCAGCAAGCTCTTCACAGATCTCTTGATCAAAAGTCTTTTCACCCTTACTCTTAAACATGCTCTCCATTTCTAGAATCTGTTTGAGCAAGACTGTGTTAATATGGCCCAGTTTCGAATAACTTATAGTAATGGTATAACTCCGTAAGTGCTTTTATAATAAGAGCCTATCTCGTTTAGCACTTTAGAGTGTTTTTCTGATTATGCACCAATACACTGCTTCCCTTAATAAGCATTTGAAGATAAGTCAAACCAAATGCACTCTAATTGACTGTTAAAAGCACTTCTTCCATTTTCCATCCAAACAGTCCTGAAACAAAAGTTATTCTCTTCCTCTAAAAAGGCACTTATTCCTTGAAAATAAGTCAAACCAAAGGCACTCTAATTCATGTATATGATCAAATAAAAACTTGTTCCAAACTAAGCATCAAAGTATGTGTTTGGATATAGATGATTTTCATCCTTGTATTATTCCTCAATCAGCCGCAATTATACTATAAATCTCTCTCAAGCCATTTGTTTCAATGTCTACTTTCTTCTTCGACTATATTGATCTACAGTAGTACAACATAAAAACTATTCATTTACCCAGTGCTAGTTTGCCGAATCCTATTATATATTCACAGTCCTTATACGACATTAAACGCTAGATAAGTAAAGTTGAAATTAAATGGGGGAGAGAAAATAATATTGGAAGTTCCAAATATATGAGTATGAGTTTACTGTTTACCTCTGCTAAGGTGAACTCAGGAAAGTCGTCATCTGTGTCAATTTCCATCAAATGATCCATTTTTCTTCTGCAAAGAAAGAATACGAGTTTCCAATCTATTAAAAACTTCCACAAGAAATATGAATAATAGTGTAAAGCAAAAGGTCTCATTCTGTGTGATATCACGCAGTTACTTCTTCCGCTCTTGAGCCATGTGTTATGGCTATGATATCACATCACCGTAAATTCAAAGGACAAAAACACCATAACTTCCCTATAGATAGTAGCAATAGTTTTGCCAAATGCCACAGAAAACCCTTGGAATTTAAAAGTCTTGCCAAACAGCACAAAAGCACAAAAAAATTCAAACCAACTATTGTGAACTTCGAATTGTTAAACAAAAGAAGAAGAAAGTAGTTTGAAATTTCTATAAACAAAACTCGAAGTTAAACACAAGAGGAAGAAGATGGTAATTTGACGACAAACAATTGCAGCCCGGAGTGACCATAATGATAAAAGTAATTAGTAGGTAAGGATGTACCTTGTTTGAAGAGTACCAGAACGCCAGAGAAGATGACTGAAGCGGATGTGCAGCAGTCTGAGAATGAATCGGTTGAAGTTAACCGGAGGTTTAGAAACCGTGTTTTGGCGAGCGAAGGGAAGTAACGGCAAGCCCGATTCGGTGAAAGGTTGAGGGAATGGAGGTGTAAGAGAGTTGAATGGCGTTAGAAATGTCACACTAAGTTAACGGGAAGAACTTCTTTGGCAATTCTTTCTAAGTCATTAGGGTATCCATTAATTTGTTCTTTAAGAGTATATCATAGTAATGTTATCAGATTAAAGGGTACTTGTCAACGGAAAAGAACTATGGTAATGGCAGGTGGCGCTTAAATCATTAAAATAGTTCGTATAAGGCTACAGAAGTCATTTTGACTACTTTCCCATTCCTAGAATTGTTGTGGCATTTATGAGACTTCCCTATTGTATTTAAGCTAAGGAATTATTTCCATAACTATTACTCCCTCAGTCTCTCTATAATTGTTCCATTTTTTCATTTTTGGATGTCCCTTTATTATTGTCTCATACCATATTCGGTAACATTTGTGTGACTCTAATTCATTTTACTTTATTTTCACTTTATCAACTCATTACCAACCACATAAATCTACTTTTCTTAAAAAACACACCACATCCTTCCGTACCAATATCCTTCTGTACCGATATTAGGGGGACGGAGGGAGTACTACGTATTATATTGATGGATAGTGTACCCGGGGGTAGCTTATCCGAGGGGTTATTGCGAAGAATAACTAGAGAGAAGTCAGAGCAAATAAGTAAGAGAGAGAGAGTATATTCGATATGTATTAAGCGTATTTGCTTCTGGGTTACAAATGGGGAAATTGGGTGCTATTTATAGTAGCAATAAATGCCAGACAGGGACACGTGTCAAGCATCCATTGGCCGAGGGGTCACCTCAATTGGTTGGCGCTGGCAATCGCATGTGGCCGCATTTAATGTGGTTGTTGGATGTGACGTCGTACTTGGTACGGTGATCCATGCGCATGTGGAGCGGATATCATGTCGGAAAAGGTGCCCTCGGCTGCAGATGATTAGTCGAGGGCTCTGAGCATCGGGGACCTCCTTAGTGCCGAGGGCTCTAGGTGCCGAGGGCTACTGATTTTCGTCGTTTTCTCCCAGTAACTTTGTTTTCCTGATTTGGCCCTCCTATGAGAATTGGAGCCTTCGGCCAGGGGGCCGAAGGCACCCCTAGTGCATACTGTGGGCCGCTTGGTACTCTGGGCACTCTGATTTGGATCTGTTGTGCTTCCTGGGCCTATTGGGCCTTTATTGGAGTAGTAGGAGTCTGTGGACCGGGGGTTCCCGGGCCATATACTCCATCAGGAGTCCCTCACTCCTTTTGCCGAAAGGTACTTGAGGGAAAAGGAGTAATTGTGTTTGTCCTCTGCTGTTGTTCCGTTGTAGTTTGTAGAGTTATGGGTAGCTTGTTGTTTGTTTATTCTGCCGAGGGCAGTCCCTCAGTTACCCACATGTCGGGACTTGAGGGGTCATGTTTGCTGTTTGCGGGAGTTTTTAGCATTTTGCGCTTTTTGTGATTTTTCCCAAGGGGGTTCTCTAGTCCCCCACTCCTTGAGGCCCTTGCAAAAGTGGTGAAAAGGAGTAGAGTAATCATGTTGTTGTATTGGGCCGAAGGCTGACGCTTTTCGTTTCATTTTGGGGGGATGCCTCGTTAAAAACCTCATTAGGAAAAACCCTGTGGGAAAAAATCCTAATGAGGGAAAAAGAGTGCACCGAATTCCCCCAACGATGAATCGAAAATGTGAAGCCCTGGTTTGTAATGGAGTACAATGCTGAAGCCGAAGGCTATCCTTGTTCTGAGGGCGCGTGTGTTGATTAGCCGGAGGCTTGCTGTTGATATTCTTGGAGGTGCCGAAGGGGAGTCCCTCATTCTGGGGATCGAGGGCGTGATGAATGTGAGTAGTAGTTGAAGTGTTACCGGGGGTGTCCCCTGTTTGTTGATCAGTTGGTGAGGAGGGTATCCGAGGGCTCCCGTTACCTGTGTGCCGTAGGCTATCCGTCAATGAGGTGTACTCCCCGGGGGCTACCTGGTCCTCAAAGTGCTGAGGGGGGAATCCCCGAGGGGTGTGCCTGTTATGAAGCCGTGGGCCTCTGAATGAGTGAGCCCTGAGGCATTTGTTATGTAGTATGAGGGGCATAAACCGGGAGCATCTCTGGGTAAGTGCACCTGGGGGCTCCTCTTGATGAAATGGAGTGAAGTAAAAAGCCCGGGGGCTAGTTTCCTGGTTGATGAAGGGGTGGTCTGTTAAATACAGTCGGGAGCTCCCAGAATATAGCCGTTGTAAATATAGTCGTTGGAATACCTAACGTCAAAAATATAGCCGTTGGGGGGGCTTCCACGTGGTGCGTGCTCGTTGGCCGCCCGTGGGCGGGTGTCACTGATTGGGCAACTCGTCGGTTGGCAATGATGATTTTGTACCGGAGGCCCGGTTTTCAGGCCCAAGCCCGGATTTGGGTGCCTATAAATACCCCAAGGCCAGGCCACTTTTCCCCGTGTGGTATCATTGTAGCGAAGCTCTGCCGGATTTTTCTTAGAGAGAGAAACACTTGCCCTCGATCTAATTCCCGTTCCAAGGTCAGTTCCCACCTGCTCTTCTCCTCTCTTAGTTAGCTGTGCTTAGCAGTCTTAAGAGTTGTACTTAGGAATCGTAGCTTAGGGCACTTAGCATTCCTGAACCCCTAAGCTAGCACAGACGATGTCTTCACAAAGCGACTCTCAAGATATCTCGGGGGCGCCCTCGATGGAGGAGGAAACCGTCTCGGACGTGGAGTCCACAAGTGAACAGCCCTCAGTGGGACGAGATGTCGTCATAGCAATGGAGCTGCAGAGAGCCCTCGTCGCCGAGGTGGAAGCCGAGGGCTTCGAACAAGAATGCGAGGATGAAGAGTTGTCCCTCGCCTGGCAGGTAGCTGAGGAAGAGGCGCATAGAGAGGGCGCGAGGGTCACCGTCGTTGTTCTCCCCCCTCGCGGCGCTGGTGAGGCCAGCACCTCTCGGCCGTTGAACGCGGTCCCCCTCCGGGTGGCCCCTGGGAAAAAAAGATGAAGGGTGCTGCTTCCCAGAAGAAAGGCAGCGTCGCAGACCAAGGGAAGTCCATCGATATTCCCGAGGGGTATTCCTACCTGAATACCGCCGCCCTAGAGATAAGGTCAAAGGCTGATGAGGTGGATTTCTACGTCACCCAGTTACATGTGGGGCCCTCGTCCGTAGTGGTGGCGCCGGGTCCTGATGATGTCCTCTCCCGGGCTCCCGAGGGCTGCATCGCCGTGCACATCCTGTCCGTATCGATGGGGCTCCGGTTCCCCCTACACCCATTCCTTTCGGGAATACCTTCGGTACGTGGGTTTGGTCCCCTGCCAATTGACGCCGAACAACCACTCATACATCGCGGGCTTCCTCCATCTCTGCAAGTCCCGGGGGGTAACGCCTAGCCTGGACCTGTTCTTTCAAAGTTTCAATTTGTGCGGGGGGGGGGGGGGGGGGGGGGGGGGGCATGCGAATGCCGAGGGCTTCACGAACTTGCATCAGGTGGCCTTATTCAAGCTGTTTACTGAGGCGCCCTCCTCAAACAAAGGGTGGAAAGACCGATGGTGCTACGTAAAGTTAGCCGAGAGCCCCTTCCCGAGGGAACTGCGTGATCGGTTCAGAAGGCACGAGAAAGTGAGGAGTGCCGCCCTCGAGAAGGATGGGAGGGTCCTGGCCAAGATCCCGGAGGGCCGAAATAAAAACATAGCCATCAAGGAGTGCACTCAGGAGGAGGACCTCTATACCCTCGGGTTCCGGCGGTATCGCTTCCTGGGGGAAACGGATGAAAAGTACCCGACATTTGATGGAGCCTCCGGGGGTTTAGGAGGTAGCAGCTGAGAGCACCTTTATTTTCGTACTTAGCACATAGTTTTTTTTGTACTTTCATGCCATCTGTTAATGACCCGTCGGCCTAACCCCATATTGTGTTGCAGGTATCCCGGTCTCCAAGATGAACGTCAGGGGGCTCGCTGACCTGAAGAAGAAGTCCTCCAAGGTCCCGAAGGGGACGGATGTTGGCGTCCCGAAGCCCGCTGGTGACTTCTTTAAGAAGTCCGAGGGGCCGTCGACGGTTCCAAGTGCTGACGCCGCCGCCACTGCGAAGAGAAAGGCCGCAGGCAAGGCTCCCGAGGGCAAGAGGCCAAAAAAGGGAGATACCGGGAAGAAGGATCCTCCCGTGGTCATCGTAGATGAGTGCCCCACCTCCGGGACGCATGTGGAGATGCCGGTGGCGGAAGTGCCGAGGGGTGTCCGGGAGCCACCCTCCGAGGTTCTGAAGGTTTCTCTCCCGAGGGGAACAACCGTGATGAACTGCACGGTGGACCCGAGGGTACTTCTGAGGGGCATGACCCCCCGAGATTGACAGAGCCGCCCTCGCGGCTGATGATGACCTGGCCCTCGAGGACAAGATCCTCCGGTCTTACCTCACTGTAAGTTTTTCCCTGATTACCATTTTACTTTGCGTTAGGATATATTGTACGGCTTTCCTAACTTCTTTATAACTTGCAAGCTTGCATTGCCCTCGGTGAACAGGCCCGAAGGCTGGAGGAGTGGCGCCTGCACAATGCTGAGCAGGACGTGAAGATGCGGGAGCTCGTCTGCCAGAACTCTGATGCTATCAGGCAGATGGCTGCACTGGAGGAGAGCCTTCGGCAGATGACGCTGCGGGCGGAGGCCGCAGACCGGGGCAAGGCCGATGCTGAGAGGTCCGCAGCTGAAGCCCTCGAGAGAGCCGCCAAGGAGGCCGAGGCCGCCAAGGCGGATGCCGTCGCGAAGGCCCGAGAGGACGCCGTCTCCGGATTTTTGGCGGGGGGTGGAAAGCCGGGGAGCACAAACAGTGGCTGTCCTCGGTCGTGGAGTCCTCCGTCGATGAATGGTGCGACGGGCCCGGTGTGGAGTGGGTTTCCCGAAAGGGTAAACAGTACTACGATGGGGGTGAGTTTTTTACTCAGGCCCTCATCTACCGGAGGATGACCCGTCACTTGAAGATCGATCAAAAAGACTTCGACCCGGTGGCATACGGCCTTCCTCCCCTGCAGCCCGATGTCCACGTTCCTCTCCCCCGGATGTCGAGAGGCCATACTTGGAAGACACTGAGCTGATAAAGGAGGCCGAGGGGGACGAAGCAGAGGCCGGCACAGAGGTCACCTCAAAGCCCGTGGAAGAGGCTGCCATCGGG